TCCTCCTCTTCCTCTTCCTCCTCCTCTTCTTCTTTTTTTCCATACCATGGATCGAACTTGGGTCCTTGTGCTTGTGAGGCAGGCAGTGGTACCACTGAGCTAAATCCCCCGCCCCAACAGTTTTTATTGGGATTATGTTGGCTGTATACAGGAATCTGGGGAGAGGTAACATTTAACCAGTGATCTTTTTATCATGCATGGGCTCAGCCCTCAGCTCAACTGAGTTTTCCTTAATGCCCACAGCATTTTATAGCTGTCCTTGTACAAATTGTGCACTCTTGTCAGGTATATTCTAGGTAATATTTTGGGGCTGGTGTAAGTGTGCTTAGGATTTGTTTAACTCTTGCTTGTGTATTGCTAGCATATAGCCTGCTGGGGTACAGGGAATGAAAAAACAAAGCCCCTGGCCATATGCTGTTTGTCATTGCAGGTTGGAATAGATTTGGGAAGTCTCTTCAAGTCTTCCAAGCACTTGTTTGCTGCTTTCCCAACCTCATGAGCACCACCCTATTCTCTGGTGGCCCTGGCCTGGCCCTTCCAGGATACTGCTTGTGAGCCCTCCTGTCCTGTCCTCCACGTCCCTTCCCCTGCCCCTCAGTGATCGTCACTTAGAAAGGCTCTTGCCTTCTCTGTGATCCCAAATGAGCTCAGGGCATCCAGGGCATCCACCTCTGAGGAGGGGGACGTGAGATGCCCTTGGAGAGTAGCAGTGAAGGATTCAGCTCCTGCCTCCTTCGCAATGGCCTGACCAGCCTTCAGGTCCTGATGCTTTGCTAAGGGTGTCTCGGATGGGTTTGGCCGCCACTGCAGACCTCAACAACTGCGGCTTCAGGAGAGGGAAAAGTACCTCACCTGGGGGCCCTGGGCGGGAGCCAGGGCACCCTTGGGGGTGGGTGGCGGAGGCCGGTCCTGCAACACCACCCGGCTGGGAATCTTCACCCTGCTATGTGGCACCAGGCCTGCAGGTCTGCACTGAAGTGTGACGCAGCATGCAGGGTGGGGTGGATGGGGTGGGCTGCCCCTCTCCTTCTGCTCTGTCCTGCACCCACCCCATCCGCAGGGCACAGACACCCATGTGGGGCCCCGGATGTGTGCCTGTGAAGCTGTACTCACTGTAGCACAGCGACGTGGCCACGCAGGAGGCCTGTCTTTGGGCCTCGTCTGAGAGAGGCTGCGTCACTGTCAGCATGGGGCTCCGTGGGGCCGAGTGCCTGTGACACGTGTGTGTGGGAGGAGGACACCTGTGTGGGCAGAAGGGCCCGCTTCTGTGTCTCTCCAGTGTTCCTGGAGATGGCAGTGAGCAGAGTGGACCTGGGTCACGCCTTTAGGCTGAAGGGTGCTTACTATTTTAGCATATGTGCCGCTGGAGTGAGTGCTGAAAGGTGTTTATTAACACACCCGTGTGGTGCCAAGCTCAGATGGAGCAGCCCGCTTTTGTTGTTGTTTGCTTTTGCTTCTGTTTTATTTTGAGACAGGGTCTCGTTAAGTTGCTGAGTTGCCCAGGCTGACTTCGAACTTTGAATCCTCCTGCCTCAGCCTCCTGTCAGGGTAGCAGGGATGGTGAGCACCAGGTACTCAACTAGCAGACAGTATGGGTGTGGCTGGATTGTTCTCTGAGGCAGAGGTTTGTATGGGTGACACTGTCTTCTACAGGTTTCAGCGGTCCCCTTTGCTCTGTGTGTGGAGTGGAAGGGTTATGGCAGATATGATGTGACACTGTATTATATTATCGTGGCAGACATTATTATACTATACCTGTTCGTAGCTCGGGGAGCCTCTGGTGCTGGGACCATGCGCGGTCAGTTGTCCCATCATGGCAAGGTCACATGTAGGTGGGAAGACTGGCCCTGCCTGTCCTTGGGGGCATCTCTCTCC